GTGTGTGTGTGTGTGTGTGTGTGTGTGTGTGTGTGTGTTCAATAAACACAACCATTCCAAAGCCTAAGAATTCTTCAAGAATCTTACTTTGTTAACTTCCCAGTAACTTTCCTACCCTCTGTTGTTCCTTTGAAGAAAAATCCCATCCGTCCATCCGTTCATCTTTACTCGCTTCTTCCTTTCAGGTTTGGTGGGGGGTGGGGGTCCAAGGGGTTGGGTACACCCTGGACAGGTCGCAAGTCCATCACAGGGCTCCTTTGAAGAAAGATTGACCCATTGAAATCCATTATAAATACATTTTCTCATCCAATATTTTTCATATCATATAACAACACATTACTTTGTTTATCCTTCTAATTTCAATTCTTGTAATAGCTCTGCTTTCAGGAACGCTATAAAAATCTCAGACGGGTCTGGAACTTACCTGGAAGAAATAGTATATTCTTCATGGTAGCAAGATGCTCTCAATTTTTTTTAATATAAAGAGCAAAAACACAGTTGTGTTGTGCTCAGTATTGACTCTTTGCAACTACGTCACCTAGTCAAGTGGGAGTTTGAAGTGAGGGAGGGGAGTGTTAAACGCAGCGATTGTGATCATTTTCACAAGTTATTTTTGCCAGTATAGCCATGGATGTTTTAGGTAGAGGGCTGAAGCATTTTTAGGGTGCTTCATTTTCATACACTCAGAAAGTTCTATCGAGTGGAACGTTTTCATGTGGTCRAACAGATTYGATGAGTTTCTGATGCTCGTTGTTMCCACTCGCCGGCACATTTTAGAGCAGATTGAAAACTTAAGTTTGTCAAACCTTCAAAACCCAAACTGTGTCCATGCCGCTGAATTTAGTATTTTCTTTCAAATCAACAATTTCTTTTTTTTCTACTGTGGACACTTGTTTACCCACAGCTGTTGAGCTCATTTTGGCGCTGTGTTGTAGGTAGCGTAGTATGAATAGAGCTGTAGCGCTGAACATTGGTGTAGTATCTATCAATTGAATTTCTTTAAAAGTCATTTCACCTTTAATATTTTGTACCCTGACATAAATCGATATTAAAGTATTGTCCAATGCAAATTCGTGAATACACATAGGGCTCCCAGTCCTTATGGTTGATGGCGTGTTCTGTCCTCATCCAATACATGCATTAAAATGACAGGTTTGTTTTGTTTCATTGGCTGCTTGTTCAGCTGTCCACGCAGCGCCCTGTGACCCTATTTCTACAGATAAATCAACTAAATGAAAGCGATATTAGGCTACCAATTGTCTGTATTTTAACTAGCTGAACAGGAGTTTACATGCTAGGTTGTTTTGACAATGGTTAAAGCGGAGTTGGCCGCCTTGTGAAGAGCATGACGTCATGTGCAAAGGGTCAAAACATTTAATACAAAACAGAAGCTCCACCTTCAAGACTAAAGAATCCATGCTTGCCAATCGGGACGACATCTGTTGGCTCGAACTAAAACACGGCATCGATGGTAGGCAAACCAGATTGATGCAGCTCGGAGAACAACCAAGCTGAATGGATGGTCCTCCTAGAATTGACTAGAAAAGGCCCTCAGGGTTTTTTTTAAAAGCCATTCAGATATAATTTCAGTAAGAAAAGTATGACTAAATATAAGTATTTAAAATAAATAAATCTTTTTAAGGGAAACAAAATCAACCATTAAAAATACAAAGTTATAAAGAACCTTCAGAGGGTTAATAATAAAAATGTGTGAGATTTTTAGTCAACAGTCCAGGCGAAGATCTCTCGGACATGACCCTAATCTGTGTCAGCAGTCTTCTGTCACTGACCTTTAAATCACCATGTGATCTGTCTTCTAAGTCCTCCTCCCCCCTTTGTTTCTCTCCTTAGGTGTGGTCCGAGTTTCTTTGGCTGATATGGACCGAGAGACCAGGGAGAACTACACCGTGGTCATCCAGGCTAAAGACATGGGTGGACAGCTGGGGGGGCTGGCCGGCACAACCACCATCAACGTCACGCTCAGTGACGTCAACGATAACCCGCCCATGTTTGACCAAAGTATTTAAATCACTTGTTTTTTGTCCTGTCTCTGCATCCTCCCTGATCTCTCCTGATAGAATAAACTTAGCCTGTTGGATAAGAAACAACTAAAATCTATTTTTAGACAGAGATTTACATGGAAACCTGCAGGAATGGAAAGTGTGAAAACTATTATCTACATGTAAAGCAAACAATAAAGCCTATCATAAGTCCCAGTGGACTTATTATTATATTTGTATAGTAGCTGTAGTAGGTGGAGATGTTGTTCTTGTTGCGGTAGAAGTAATATATTTACATCAAATCCATCCATCTGCTTAGAAAAATGCTGGTCTCTGAGCATATTAAATTTGATATCAAGAATTAATATTGACTTGCTAAAACCATTAGGATTAGGTCAATCAAAGAAACACAAGTTTACCCTGAACTGCACAGCATCTTAAGTCTCCAGTTACACATAAAGACTTAGTGGCCTGACTGCACCACAAACTCCTCCCTCAGAGCATGAAATGAACTTTTGTTTTGTTCTAATTACATTTCAAAAACACACTTATATGAAGTTAATWCTTGACTTGTATGTCTTGTCAGCAATGTGTTTCCAGACTTTAGCTGCAGTGTTTCTGTGATGACGACTCATTTATATTCACATGAACTATTCCTCTGTCCAACTTGTTTTGTAAGAGCTTGCAGAGTTGTGAATCCCTCCGCCTGCTTCTGGCCACCAGTTCCCATCTGCACTTCCTCCTCTTTYCCCCAGCCCCCTCATATTGTCTCTTTCATAATCCACATTACTTTTTTGTCTCATTATCAACCTCCTGAGCTCAGAGGTTGTTTCTCTCAACCGGTGGCTCTAGACAAAGTAAAAWCTCATTTCCCATTCCCGCCTCCGTCACCAGTCACTAACCATCACCAATTAGCGCCATCACTCTGAGGGAAATTTGATTGGTTGTGATCAGGGACTCTTAGCAGACGTTTCACAATAAACTGTGGGGAAAACCACAAATTGGGCAGCTGTCACCTTCTTTTTGAGGTTAAACGGTAGATGAGATTCAAGCCGGCCCACGAGACAGCGTATAACCCAACTGTGAGGTCATAATAGAGCCTTTTATTTTATTGTGCCTGATACAAGTGATTTGGAATCAAGAGAGCTGTTGTGATGAAAAGAAAGGGTTTGCCTCCCTCTAGAGGACAGAGAAGTGAATTAGTTTTTGGTTCTCTGTGTACTCAGGGCTGTATCAGATGAGCGTGCCTGAGTCAGCGCCCGTGGGCTCCGTGGTGGGACGGATCTGGGCCAAGGACAGAGACATCGGGGTCAACGCTGAGATGAAATACAGCATCATAGATGGAGATGGGAGGGACACCTTTGACATAAGCACTGACCCAACCAACCTCTTTGGCATCATCACAGTGAAAAGGGTAAATAACATACATATTACATAATTACACAAGTTTAAATGTTATTAATTGGTCTCTAAGAAAATGTTTTTTTAAATAAGTTTTAAACAGTTACAACACTGATATGTATGGAGGGTTGAATGTGCCAAATCTTTACTTACGTGACTTGTTGAGGGTGGGGGTGCGGGTGGGGTGCGGTGGGGCACTTAAATTTATCTTATGAAATGTGGGAAATGGAATACAAAATAGTTGTAATTTGTTTCACATGTAATCATCAATCCAATTCCATTGTGTGCTTTTATTCTAAATAATTTGGGATTTAAATATTTCACATCAAAATCAGTTTTTCATCTTATAGTGACATTTTTTGCTCTTTATACTAATGGGTCATTTTATTGTTTATAAATAAATAAATAATTGTTTTATTTTAATAACTGACAGTAGAAATAAAGATATAATTATATACGTACATTTATATAATAATAAATACTTTTTTTCTTATTCGGAAATGTATTCACAAATAATTAACATCTCATCAAATAGGTGAAAAATGTATTCATTGCATCAATTTTTTTTAAATTGTTTGATAAATAATTAAACTTTTAATAAAAATAACTCATGACCGAAAGAACGAGGTCCCGGATACAAGCGGCCGAAATGAGTTTCCTTTGCAGGGTGGCTGGACTCTCCCTTAGAGATAGGGTAAGAAACTCGGTCATCTGGGAGGGACTCAGAGTAGAGCCGCTGCTCCTCCATGTCGAGAGGAGCCAGTTGAGGTGGCTCGGGCATCTGGTAAGGATGCCTCCTGGATGCCTCCCTGGTGAGGTGTTCCGGGCACGTCCCACCGGGAGGAGGCCCAGAGGAAGACCCAGGACACGCTGGAGGGACTATGTCTCTCGGCTGGCCTGGGAACGCCTTGGAGTTCCCCCGGAGGAGCTGGAAGAAGTGGCTGGGGAGAGGGAGGTCTGGGCCTCCCTTCGGAAGCTGCTGCCCCCRCGACCCGACCCCGGATAGGCGGAAGAAAATGGATGGATGGATGGATGGATAAAAATAACTAAGATTTTGAGTACTGACACGTACATCATTTTTAAAAGTCTTGAAGTGTTTATTTGTAATTTTTAGTCATTTAATTCACATATAAATTACTCTTTATTTGAATTTGGCACTTTTGACCCTCCGTTCTACAGTAAAAGCTAATAACCCTGATTTTCTTTGTGCAAAATCTGTAAATTCTAATTTGGTTTTAGCTAAATTCATGTAACAGTTAAGCAACTTTCAATAGTTTTTTTTTTCCATATCCATTTTATTTGTTTGTTTGTTTGTTTGTTTGTTTTTTGCATTTTCTTTGAGCAGCCATTAAACTTTGAGAACAAGCCCAGCTACACCTTGAAGGTGGAGGGAGCCAACATCAACCTGGACCCGACCTACCGCCACGGCGGGCCCTTTAAAGATGTCACCATTGTTCATGTGAGCGTGGAGGACGTGGATGAGCCACCGCTGTTCGACGCGCCGGCGTACTACATCGAGCTTCCAGAAGATGCAGAAATAGGGACGGTGGTGAAAACGGTGTCGGCCCGGGATCCGGACGCAGCCAACAACACTGTGAGGTGAGGWGGAAAAAAATAGGCTCAAAGTTAAACGTTTTCAAACTTTGTTGCTACAAATACATGTCCTACTAGTTTCAATAACTTTATGCTGTTTTTTTACATTGTCAAGTCTCAGCAGAACTCGCCACCAACAAGAAAATACAAGTTTTAACAWGTCTCAATATTCTGTGCCACATTTCCAGAAATGCTGTGGCCAAGTCATGCTTACMTTTCTACATGGTCAACCCATAATATGTCCATTTGGTTTAACTCCCTTTGAATTCTGTTGTCTGCACCTCTTCATAGAACCACAGTGCTCACATTTTATTAGATGTGTTATACAGTATACGTAAAAAATTGGTGTGGTTTTGAGGTTTTTAAAAGGTCTGTTTGATTCTTGTGAAGGAGATGCTCTGATGATTAATGTTACTCTTTGGCCAATCAGCGGTCTGCAGCCGGCTGACGCTGACTCTTCAGCTCAACTCSCAWGTGTRGGTTTTAAGAACARAGCTGAAAGTGGGTGGGACCAGTGTAAAAATGCTCAGCCTGCACAAAAGGGTGAGTCAAACCCATGTAAAGGGGCTATAAGATTTATTGTACTTACAGCCAGTTTTCTAAAAGATTCATTTTTTTCTCCAATTTAGTTGTCTTTCATTATCAATTTAATTTAATTTGGAAATACAAATCTGAGTTTAAAAGAAGACTGTTAAATTGTGTTTGCTGTTTGCTACTCTGGAACCAAAACTTGAGTGTAAAATGAAAATGAAAATGAAAATGAAAAAAGCTTCTCACCAGAATAACTACAGCTGAAAAACTTCAAAAGTTCATATAAAATGAAAATAAAAGTTTGCCGAACTGAAACATTTAGTTACAATTTGCTCCTACTAATATTTAGTTTACAGAACAGAATAATTACAGAATATATAAAACATAAACTGAAGTGAAAACTTTTATACTTGCATTTGATATAATTAAAGCAAGTTAATTGCAGTTAAACTTTTACAATCATCAGTCGATTTCGAATAAAGTAAGTGTACTGTTGCCTTGTCACCAGCAGAGGGCAGCAACCTAACAAAACTTCAAACTGGACACAAATAAGATCTCAACACTCCAGACAGTAAAACCTGCTGATTATTTTGCAGGATGGTTGACAGAAAAAAACAAAGATTTTAATGTGTTTAAAATCCTATACAGCACACAGTAACAAACATTTATTCTGTGGTTTGTGTTTTACACAAACAGAAGCGCTGTGGTGGGGTCAGTGTCCAGACTGCGCTTCTCATAACCTAGACATAAAGTATTTTAATTAGGCTGTAAATCATCCAAAGGAATCAGTAGTATGACATCCCAGCTGTCCCCTTTTAATGCCTTAATTAACTCTAAATGTGACACAAAGGCAGTCGATACAGATGACTCATGTTGCAGTTTATGGATAAAATCGTCTGCTTCTCCACCCGACCAGAGAGGATACTTAAACACTCCAACAAGTTCTGGGTCTGCTCCAGGGGCTTCCTCCTAGTGGGGGCGTGATCTCCAGAGAACATCACCTAGGAAACCTTATCAGGTGCATGAACCACCTCGGCGGAGGTGGTCGAGCAGGTGGTCTGCAAGAAGAGCCGTCAAGGTCAGATTCTATGTAAGCCAGGTGGCAGGCGATGGGGCTCTGGGCATTCTGATTCCTGGCAACACAAACATTTGGCCCTAATTTAATCAACCAACTCCCCTGTAACCTGTCAGGAGCGTTTCTCATCACTTACTACTGCTTTGATGTTTTTAATGACCAATAAATCAAGTGACAGCTTAAAAAAACAAAACAAATAAGCAGCTCTGAAATCTCCAGAGTTGCCAGGATATCAGTGAGCAGTTTGAAAAAAAAATCTGGAAGGTGAGGATGTGAGCAGCAGGTAGTCACAACAACAACAGATGACAGATAACAACAAGCAGCACTGACCTTCAGTTTCCAGCTCCCATTCTTCCTGTCCTTTACCGCCTGCAACCTGGTTGGCAGATATGCTGGAAAACCCACACATTTCTTTTTTGTCCCCCCACTCATAGCGTCTCCCCCCTTCTCATGACAGTGGATGACTGATATTAATAGAGACCCTTTGGGAGAACCTCCCCAGCAGCGGATGTGCCAGTCACGACTTTCCCTGTGTGGCTAACAAGCCCACAAATGCTCTCACAGCTGCCTGCTGCTAAAGTGACTCAAATGTGCCTGTTTGCTAACATCAGGCTTTTATTTTACATTTGATTTGTCTGATGCATGGTACCGAGTTGAAATCTTCATTTCCCCTCCTTTTTGATTAAGTCTGATTACAGTCTGTAAATCACTTCAAGCTGCATTTTAAGTGTTTTATGATGGCAACAGCAGCAAATAGAAAAATGACTACAGCTTTATCAAACRTTTAGATAAWAAGCTTAAATYTGATGYCTGTGGTAATAACTGCAAGTCTTCTTTATTGCATACTCTGAGCGCTACTTGTCCTACTGTTAGCAAAGTTTCTTGGAAACTGTTGGATAGATTTTACTAAAATTACTTGCCACAATCAACTGACCTTAGTCAAAACAAAATGGAAATACTGTACCCCAGGCCAGAGGTCTCAAAYGATGAGGTTTCAACCTCTGCTGGAACCATGGATGTACTATGGGGATTCGTGAAAAAAATGCATATATTCTTTTTGTTTTCAAAGTTGTGTCTTTAAACACTCAAAACCATGCATTCTGCACAGAAATAGAAGGACACACCCCTATCCATACTGRACAGGTCATGTCCACTCTTTCAGGTTCACAGTAACTGACTGAGAGCCTATTAGTGCAGTATTTTTTGTAATATTTCTACAACCAGCAGCTCCTAATGCTAACAGTCGACAACTAATGCCAGTATACACTATATATACAATATCTTCAAAAACTGAGTACACCTCACTTTTGTCACACATTAATGGCTGTGTGTCGTTATTTTGACGGGACGTGTTACACAAGCTGTTTACTGAATACTTTACATCGTATCAAAGGAGTATGTTCAATGTTGTTCCATGAAAATATAACTTAAAATATTTAAAAATATTTTTATATACATTGGGTTCTTACTCCGTTTGAGGGGTCCCAGTCTAAAAAAACACAAAAGACACCTACCTTAGGCAATTTTCCATATACTGAGCTACATCTTGATGTGGTAGTAGCTGAGAGTCATCCTCAATAAATACTCCAAGCACYAACAAATTGTGTGAGATCTTGTCATATCGCATCAGATTTCGTACAATGGTATTTTCAAGGTTGAACAAAAGTTTAGTTTAAATTTCTGAYGTTAAAGGTGGAGAGCAATACACGTTTCTTTAAGAAACACTAGACCTTTAATTTGTAACAACAAGCTTCCTATCAAAGCTGATTGTTTTTCTGTTGTGAATAATGTGCCATATCATCCTCCTCCTCCTTCATGTGCATGCACGGCTGCTTGTCGTAGCACGTCTCTCTCAGTGGGGTGGTTTGGAAAGCGGCCCATGGCGACAGGAGATGAGCCAAGGCGACACTCTGCAGGTTCTTGTGTGCCTGCCGTCTGTTTGGCAGAAGAGGCAGATACTCCGATTAAGCCTCGTACCAGGATCTTCTTCTTACCGAGCCTCCAGGAGCTGCCAGCCTGACGCCTTATCGCACAGACGCACACACTCTGGATTGGTTATGTGTGCGTGCGTGGCCCTCAGATAGGATTACACACAAAAGTGCCCTTTGTTGAGCTCTGATCTCACACAGCTGTGTCACCTTGTGTCACCAGGTACTCCATCGAGAGGTCCAGCGACMCCGAGAAGTTCTTTTACATCGAAATCACTTCTGGCTCGCTGATGACGGTGCRTTCTCTGGACCGAGAGGAGACTGGATGGCACAACATCACAGTCCTGGCCATGGAGATGAGTAAGTGTTTTACATGTGTCTGAATAGATGAGCTTTGTTTCAGCACTATAAAGTTAGTTGCTTTTCTTAGGATTTAAACAAAACTTCAACTGAGTTTGAAAATGTATAATAAATCTGACAAAAAAATGTAAAATACAGAATGCAAATGAAAAGAAAAAGTTAGGAACGCTTGAATAAAGAATAATGTCAAAGAAARTGCTTTACTGATGAACAGCAACTACTGTAAACAAAGTTAACAAGCTGCAGAAGCTGTTTAAAATATATGAACAAAATAATTATTTTACTCACTATAAAACTAATAGTTTCACTCTGGCTATGTGAACTGGTGCTTTTACAATTGGTCAACTCTAAGATTTACAAAAACAAMMAAAAAAWCTTTAAAAAGCTGCAGACAGTTTGTAACTCYGACCCGGTGATTTTTTTACAAAGCAGCTCCTGCGGTTCAGGTAACTCAGAAAAGCAGACGCCCTGCAGGAAATCTCACAGCTGGTTGCACCAGAAGTCACCTTGCTTCTTAATCCATTTGYTTTGTTTGTGTGTTTGCGTCTTTGTTTGGTCGACACACCTTAAAGGATGCAGTAATGGAATTAATGGCTAATTAAATAACTTCTCTCGTGGCGGCTAATTAAAGATGAGGAAGAGACAGAGAGGGCACTCATAGGACGGTGTGAAGAGGAAACGATGAAGGAGCAGAATGGGAAATGAGCCGGAACAAACTGAAGATGATTGATTTACACAACCTGGGCTTGAACCTGCAGCCTCAGGATTGCGAGACCGTGGCGCTGACCATAAAGTTTATCCTACATATTTGATGAGAACTGTGCTATTATATGTTCTCTGTCCTTCTTTACTCTTAAGAAAGGTGAGACTATGTGCTACTAGTGCCTTTCATGCTTTCATATTTCCATATAGCAACCAATCAAAATGCATCACTTAATAAGCCTATATAACAACGTTACTGTATTGTGGATTATTTTATTCTTTCAACACAATAACAAACTATTACTCATAGAAAAAAACACAAATAAAAACAAATATATGTTTTAATTGTAAGTGCTCAACTTAATTACTTACTTACTTAGTAGTAATGGTTATAATGGTTTGCTTGCATTATGTTTTTATCTGGCTTTGTGTCACCTTCAAATTCTCCGGCTATTTCTTATTAATACAGAGATAATATGCGTGCCGTGTGTGCCATTTTTTTTGTTTTGTTTTGTTTTATTTTGTTTTGTTTCATTTCGTTTTGTTTTGTTTGTAGTCCATCACAAAAGTATTTTTGTTGACCGAAAGTTTTATTACTGGTATATATTCCATGCATTTTTAGTTATACTTCAGTAAAAAATGACTTTGTACACCACACTTTAAATTTATGTTAAATGAACTTTTACTCGCCCGGATTTTCACACCAGTGATTAACTAAAATGGTGATGTTTAGGTAAATTGGAAGCTTAAGCCATGAATTAAGTACTCGGAGCATCGACCTTCAGAGCCAAAGTCGCACCACTGATTGATTGATCATGTGATGAAACCTGAGAAAGTAGTTACTACCCTGTAATTGTGTTTCTATAGGCCATTACACAGCTGGTTAAGGTATGCAAATTGCTGACTGTAATGAAGAAAAATWGAATTGTGATATGAGCTTAAGAAGCCATAATGTGCTGCAGGCTCGCAGTAAATGAGGGGAAKATTAAAGAAGCCACGGAGGCAGCTCAGTGGGATATGTAAACARGGATGTGTCTGCTTGCATCTTAAAGCGTCTAAACTGTGTTTACCTGCAGATAACCCCAYGCTGATTGCGAGCGTGACTGTGGCTGTGAAAGTCCTGGATGTGAACGACAATCCTCCTTCGCTGGCTCATTATTTGGAGACGTAYGTTTGCGAAAACGCCAAAGCGGGACAGGTAAACCCAAAGCCGCTTGTCTGCAAACCCAGTTTTAGTTGATCCTGTTTGTTTTCTGTGMTCTGATTATCTCAAGATCCAGTAAAATTGTGTATTTTGGAAGAACTACATTTATAAAGGGTGTCCATTGTGTTCCAGCTGATCCAGACCGTGACAGCCGCTGATCCAGATGAGCCTCTGGGGGGTCAACACTTCTACTACAGCTTGGCTCCAGAGGCCGCCAACAACCCGAACTTCACACTGAGGGACAACCAAGGTAGACAWTCAGTCCCACTCAGAGTGTGACAGGGTTAACTGCATGTAGCACAGCCAGACGCTGGGCAAACCCAAACACTGTGAGGGAAGGATGCTGGRTCGAGGTCCAGTATGGTCTACTGGTTAGAAGGTTGCTCTGGCTAAAATCCCAGCAGAAAGTTTTCCGTGTATTTTCATGGCATCATTTTACATGGTAGCTTCTACAGTGTTTTAGATCATTGTTGGTATTTTCATGTAAATTAAAACATTTCTAGAAACTGTGCAGTGTTTATGGATGTTTTTAGAAATTACAAAAAATGAGACAATTTGGGGAAAATGTGTTTCTGTGTGGACAATGTTTTAGAGTACTAGTTCCCAACTAGCCCAGTAAAAATCAGCCTCTTGTTCTACACTTTGCTTCGTACAGAGGGTCTGAACCAGAGGTGCCCAAAGTGGGCAAAATTGGCCCGCTAAGCCATTTGATTTGGCCCACCAGCAGTTTTCCTTTGTTACTATTGTAATTATGTTAAGATTAAATATAAAATACAGGTAACTACAAGAGACATTTAGATTAGATTTAAGCCCTTATCTCGATTTGCACACCTTGTAAGACCACATATACTCAAATTTTAAATTATGAAAAGTCCCATGAGCCTTTGCTGCCCAAGCATATGTTGAATTTTCTCCATGTCCATGAGCTGAAAAAAAATTAAAAGATTGCGGGCAATCGCACCGGCTGCTAGCTTATCAGGAAAAATAAAACAACTTTTCTTAAGAAGTATTTGCATTTCTTATATTATTGTATTTGGCCCGCGGCCCTCAGATTGATTTTAATTTTGGCCCTCTTGGGGAATTTTTTTTTTATTTGGCCCTCTCTGGGAAAATATTTTTTAGTTGTGGCCCTCTCATGGAAAATGTTTGTGCACTCCTGGTCTGGACTCTCAGCTATTGAGAAATGTTTGCTCGCTGGACTCAATTGAAGTTTAAAAAGGTTAGATCTGATTTTACCGAAACGTTAATGCTTGGCAGTGACGTATGTAGTGCGCCAGCTTCACCATGAAGGAAGCTAAGCTAATAAGCTAACCGGAAATTGTGTGTGCTGTAAACAGCCATCCMCTACTGAGAGGAGAGAATTCTGAGCTGAACAAGATGGCTGTAAATGAGTGCTGTTGGCTTTGAGAAACAAATTCAATTTAATTTGRAAGGCTTGTCAACACGGACTGGCTTCATTCACTTGCTCTGCTGCCRTTGCTAAACTACAGGCAGACTGAAGCAGAACAGAAAATCAACGTCGTTCACAACTTATCCTTCTGTTCGCTGATTGGCCTGGTTGAGATTCTACCGGAGAAAATCATGTCAATGGGAGAAAGCACGGAGCAGAAGGGAGATTAGAATCAAGTGGAAGCACCAACAGTACATCTGGGGGTGAGGGTGTGGGTGTCAGGGTCTTTATTCCCATCCCGTTCCCCGACTGCCATTTGGGGAGGGGGTCCTGAAGAAGGGTGGGCTGTGGGTGGGCTCGGGGCTTGGACGGTCGCCGGGGGCGGGGCTGGCTCACCATCCTCCCTGGTGCTGCTTGGTCTCCTGAGGGTGGCTGCCGGGTTCCAGGGGGCGGACGGCTGGGGGGGTGCACTTGGTCATTGGCGGTGTGGTGGGGTGGTCATGGGTGTGGCT